TGTTTACAATAGCAAAGACCTGGAACCAACCCAAATGTCCATCGATGATTGGCTGGACAGGGAAAATGTGGCAAATATATACCATGGAATACTATGCAGCCATAAAAAACGATGAGTTTGTGTGCTTTGTAGGGACATTAATGAACCTGGAAACCATCATTCTCAGCAAACTGACACAAGAACAGAAAATCAAATACTGCATGTTCTCACTCATAGGTGGGTGTTCAACAATGAGAACACATGGACACAGGGAGGGGAGCATCACACACCAGGGTCTGTCAGGGGGAAATAGGGGAGGGACAGCAGGGGGTGGGGAGTTGGGGAGAGATAGCATGGGGAGAAATGCCAGATATAGGTGATGGGGAGGAAGGCAGCAAATCACACTGCCATGTGTGTACCTATGCAATAATCTTGCATGTTCTTCACATGTACCCCAAAACCTAAAATGCAATAAAAATTAAAAATAAAAAAGATGAAGGACTGTGGAGACCAAAGTTCTTATTGTGCAGAGAAAGCCTTCAGGTGAGAAAAGAAAAACATTCTGTTCTCTCTCTCGCCTTCAGAGAGAAAATATTGTAAATCTTTCTTATCAGATTTAAGGTCTGTGTTGATGTTAATATCACGGAAGGTATAAAGAGGCATGTCTGACCACTGCTTCCCTGTCATGGCCTGAATCAGTATTTCAGGTTAAATTTTAGAGTGCCCTGGCCTAGGAGAAGGTCTATTCAGATAGTTGGGGAAATTTTAGAATTTTATTTTTGATTTACAGCAAGCTTGTCCAATCTGTAGCCAGCCCACAGGCCACATGCAGCCCAACAAATATTTTTAAGCTTTCTTAAAATATTATGTCTTTTTCTCGCGTTTTTGCTTTGTTTTGTAGTTTATCAGTTACTGTTAGTGTTAGTCTATTTTATGTGTAGCCCAAGACAATTCTTTTTCTTCCACTGTGACCCAGGGAAGCCAAAAGATTAGACGCCGCTGGTTTACAGGAGCACCAACAGTGGGACAAATCTGATTATTAAATGCCTGCTAATGTGATACAGTATTAATTACACAGTATGACCTTTGAAGTATCCTTGTCAAATGTTTCATCTGAACTCCTCAAGCCTCTGGTAACTTGCAGTTGAGAGTAAATACAAGATCTAGAGGCACAAAATAAATAAAATCAGAAAATCCAGCATTAGGGCATTGTAAGGTTTTTTAGGCTGACTGATGCTGCCATGGACTGCATGGTAACCTCTGTGACCTGCACATATACCTTCAGATGAGTTTCTGGACTGGAAAACCACAAAAGGGAAGAATCATCAACCCCTGTGGTGCCTAATTAACTTGAGACATTCTTCTATTTGTTCCTTATTCCCACCTTAACTGATTAGACAATTGGACTTTGTAACCAGCCTTGGTCAACCTCATGACTCCACAACCCATGACCCCCTCCCAGCTTGCAAAACCTCCCTAAACTGTAACTTCTGTAACTTTCCACTGCTCACCGCAAACCTAGAAAACCAACTCCTATCCCATCGCCCTCCACTGACTCTATTTTCAGACTCAGCCTGCCTGCACCCAGGTGAATAAACAGCCATGTTGCTCACACAAAGCCTGTTTAGGGGGTCTCTTCATCCAGAGTGTGCGTTTTAACAGGCATTCTTCATGACAACTGCTTGGTATCTTAAATTTTTTTTTAAAAAAAAACAGTTATTTTGGGGAAAAATTAATTAAAAGTTTTAGATTAAAAGAAGCCAAAGAAAGTTAAAGCCCAACTGCAATGGGCAATAATTCATAGAATCCTGGTTTGAAAACAAACTACATACAAAAGGTATTTTGGAAACAACTGGACAACTGGAGAAATGTAAATATTGCCTGGACATTAAATAATAGTAGTTAATTGTTTTCATTAGTATGATAAAGGTTTTATAGGAAATGGTCATATAAGAAAAATGTCCTTGTAGGAGACATATTGCTAAAGTATTTAGAACTGAAGTGTCTTATCTACAACTTACATATCTGACAAAAACCAACAACCAAAACACACACACGTAGGTACACACATAAATATATAAATATGGAAAAATATTTGAACCTAGGTGATAGTGATAAAGGAGTTAAGAAGAAATTATTTAGGCAGATAGTACAGGTATGGGAGTCCTTGGTAAGGCTTTTCTTTTTCATGAAAAGCAGCTCCAAATCATTTTCTAATGAAGAGCAGCTTGTAAAGTCGAGCTGCAGACATAGGCAGGCAAGTTGGGAGTTTGCAACGGTGAATGCTGGCAGGAGCTAGGGACTAGACATGTTCAAGATGGTGGCTCCCTCTTCCCTTCTCTGCCAATCACGTGTATAGTAAGAAGCAGACAAGACAGTGCCAATCAATTGGAAACCCCACTTGCATAAGATTAGGGTACAGCAACCAGCCTTCCCCATGTACTATGTAAACATCATACCTGATCAAATCAATCTGTGAGCCCTCTATAAATCAGACACCACATTCTCAAACCTGACCAGAAAATTCAGTGCATCCACCACCTGCAGGTCCTTTCCACTCAGAGCCCCTCTCTATAGACAGAGCTGTTTCTGTTTCTCTTCTTTTCTGCCTATTAAACCTCCACTCCTAAACTCCTCATGTGGTGGGTCCATGTCCCCAGTTTGCATGCAATGACGAGCCCCAGGTATATCCCCCAGACAACGTAGCTGCTTCAATAATGGAACCACCTTTGCAAAGCTATGACTGAGACAGTGAAAGAGATCTCACCTAGCCAATTCCATCTTGCTTCTAATCTTCAAGCTGTCCTTGTTCGTCCCCAGGGGTAGGTTGAACTAACTTTGGGAGGGATTGGAACCGCCTTTGCAGAAATAACTTAGAAAATTATGACAGTGAAAGACATCAGACCTAACTGACCATCTTGCTTCTAATCTATAAACTATACTTGTTCATTCTTGGGCATAGGCCAAGCAACCTTTGGGAAGGAATATAGTCTATAGTTTATATAATAACCCTTCCCAAAAGGCTAAACTAGTCTTGTAAAACAAATGAAAGGCCAGCTACCAAGTCAAGATGAAAGGGGCTGGAATTCTAAATATTACCAGCTATTATTTGGAGGTGATAAGATTTGCAACTTCCCCAGTAAGTCTTGAAAGTAACATTGTGAACCTAAGCCTTTTGAGATGTCTTTTCGGGTTTCTGCATGTCTAACAACCAGATGGCCTCACCTCGATGTGCCATCTAATTCTGTAGCCCTCACTCAGGAAGTGACTCAGGGAAAAAGAACAGCTTCAACTTCCTACAATTTCATCCTTAAACCAACCAATCAGCACTCCCAATTCACTGCTCCCCCCCCAACCAAATTATCCTTAAAGGGGCTGATATGAGTAATAATAAACTCCGGTCTCCTGCACAGCTGGCTCTGTGTGAATTACTCTTTCTCTATTGCAATTTCTGTCTTGATAAATAGGCTCTGTCTAGGCAGCAGGCAAGGTGAACCCCTTGGGCAGTTACAGAACTTATAGTTTAAAACATAGATGTCAACAGTCCTTTTCCAAAACAAACATTCTTCTTTCCTGGGGACCAGCCTGCCTTTGTAAAACTAACAAATTAGCCACAAGATTATAATTATCGTTTAGGAGTCAGGCAGCTGGAGTCTACAAGATTCTGACCTCCCTAAATTGCTCCTAAGTTCAGTGCTTATGATAGTATGCAAACCCTGGACTTGATGAATCAGCTGGCACAACCCAAATCAATAAACTGGCTTATCTGATCTTGTGGCCCCCACCTGGGAACTGACTCTTCGAAATAGGACAGCTTCAATTCCCTGTAATTTCATCTACCTAACCAATCAGCACTCCTGGCTCACTGGCTTCCCTTACACCCACCAAGTTCTTAAAAACGCTGATCTGCAAATGCTGGGGAAGGCTGATTTTAATAATAATAAAATTCCCATCTCCCACACAGCCTCTGTGTTAATTACTCTTTATTGTAATACCCCTCTGTCTTGATAAAAGGGCTCTGTCTAGGCAGTGGGCAAGGTGAATCTATTGGGCGGTTACAATAGACATATGGGTGATTTTGTGCTTTTTGTTCACCTTTTCTGTGTTTAAAATGTTCAGAATATGAAATTCGAACAAAGAAGACATGGATTGATAATTCCTATTCATCTTTAAGAGTCCATTCTGTGTTTTACTTACCACTCCGAAGGCTTTCTTGCCCACACCAGGACAAACTCAGCTCTTTACCCCTTTTCTGAATTTTCCTGGCACTTTTGCTTTGAATACAGCACTTAATTAATATTCTGCCTTGTACCCAGAATTAACACACTATAAAATCCCAGAGGACAAATTAGGAAAATACAATCATAGGATATAGAAATTTAACAGCCAAATTATAATGAATGGGTGATCTTTATTAGGCAAAATAAAATGTTAAGGTAGTATAGGATTTAGGGTTGCAGTGCCGAAGGCCTAAACTAGGATGGCAGCAATGAAAGGGCAAAGTCCTGAGTAACATGGGAAACATTTACACTGCAGGCTTGCATTTGGGCTTTCATTAGCTTCCACAACAACGTATCTAAACATGGACAGCTTTACAGACACCCGTTTTAAAACATTCCAGCTACCATATCAAAACTCGGGGTCTCACTGGAAAAGAGTGACTTCAAGTGGAATTCCTCAGGGAGACATTCACTTCCAATCATCATTCGCTAAACCAGGAACTTTGGACAGCCTCATATCGCACCCGGATTTCCAAGGACACCACATCCACACCATAAAAAGCCTCGGGAATATGCGGAAAGGTCTAATTTACCTAAGTAAATTCTTTTAAGTTCTAACAAATGTATTTTATTAGAACATGCGCCAGCGTTTGAGAACAAAATGTTTTAGTACTTTGAATCCGCCAAGGAGACAGGATCTGGGTCTGACTGTTTTCTCAGGGTGAAGGTCAAGGCTAACCACTCGGGTGCCTCTCCCTCCAGGCCCGCGCCGCGCCCTCTCACCCAGATTCCCGTCCTGCACCGCGCCGCAAGTCCCCTACCCGTGGGCACCACCCGATCCCCCCAGCCCCGCCACTGGCCCCTCCCCTGCCCCGCCTCCCCCAGGGCGGCTGTCAGCATCAGCGTCCCACAGAGAGGGCGAAACGTGGGAACGCAGAGAACTAGACCCGGCTTTTGAGGGACCGCCCGAAAAGGGGGTGCACCCCCTCCTTAAGTCCCACCAACCGCGCAGGCCAGCGTCACAGAGCAGGCGTTGGAAACCCGGCGCCGGCGACCCCTCCCACCCTACCTTGAGCTGCGCCCCCTCCTCCGGCGGCCCAGCCTCCTACTTCCGCCCCGCCCACGTGCCCTGGTGGGCGGGTCCAGAGAGGGCCTGCGCTTGGGGAGTCTGTCAAGGCGCTGGTGGGTGAGTTAGTATCGAAGGGGCCGGAACTGGAGCCAACATGGCAGCGGGGTTCGTGCGATGCTGCAGGGTGAGAGGGAGCCCAGCGCTGCGGTGGGGCTGGGGCTTGAATATTGTGCGTGGTCATGGGCCAAAAATAAGTGCGGCCTGGAGGGGTGAGAAGCCGGTCTGAGGAAGGAGCCCGCCTAGGGGACCACGGCCCTGCTTTCATTCCTCCTACCACGGGACGGAACGTAGTCCGGAGTTTCATTTTCCCGGATCCTCCCATCAGCAGACCCCTTTGTAGGCGGCATCCTCTCTTTAGAATATCGGTTTTCTTTCTCTGGCTCGGGAACCCTCCAAATATTTACCCCAGGAATCCCACCTTTTTCCGAAGTGAATCTGTCTCTGTGTCAGAACCACGGGAAAAAGGAAAATGGAGCAGCTACTCCTTGAGATACTTAATATATTTAATAAGCTTTTCGTTGTGTAATATGGTGGAGGACGCGTCCACTTTGCTTATGGGAAAAAAAAGTAAAAGAAAAAATGTACCGCAGGATTGTATGAGAACTTGTCTGTATATTCTAGTATGTGTCTTACAGATTCTAAATATATTTGTCACTAGATGCATTTTGGGATCTTAAATATTCCTGGTATGTTCACATGACTGCCATTTAGATGTCCCTTAAAATTATGTTTTTAACCAAAAAAGCTGCGGTTTTAGAATAATCCAAAAGAACTGCTGCCCATATTTTGCTGCTTTTATACAAGTTAATGTGCAGAGAAGGCGGAAATTGGGGGATTTTAGCTTTTTTTAACTCCATCACCAGAAAAGTAGATTTCTCAGCCTCCAAGGAAGGAGCTAAAAAACCTGATATAGAAAACTTACATCCTCTTTTTCTTCTTTCACTCATAAAACTAACACTCATATATTTCTAAGAAATGCACAAAATGTTTAATTCTAGTGGTGCCGTTTCGATGTTTAAAATTCCATTGTTCTAGACAGAGAGCCCATAGTAATAAAACCAATATTTATATAGCATTAGGCTTTGAAAACATTATCTTATTTTAAACATCCCAACATACATAGTGAGATTAGCCCTGTTTTTCGGTTTTGAATGGAAGCTATAAGCAGTTTGTAACCTAAGGCCACAACTATAGCTGTGAATTCAAATTCAGCAATTGTTAACTCCAGATCCCGTGATATACCTGTTTTCTATTTGTAAACAACCTAATTAACTGGCTAACTTTGTTATGTAACTAATAGGTTGATGTGCATTGTATTCTGGTAATAGCAGCCTTTGCACGTTGTTCTATATAACACATTTTCCTGAATGGTCATATGTGAAGTGACTTTTTCCCTATTTAAAGTCTGACTGGCCGTGGTGTCTCACACCTGTAATCCCAGGACTTTGGGGCGCTGAGGCGGGCGGATCTTCTGAGGTCAGGAGTTGAAGACCAACCTGGCCAACATGGTGAAACCTCATCTTTACTAAAAAAATGCAAAAATTAGCCGAGTGTAGTGGCACACGCCTGCAGTCCCAGCTACTCAGGAGGCTCAGGCGGGAGAATCGCTTGAAATCAGGAGGGAGAGTTTGCTTTGAGCCAAGATTGCATCACTGTACTACAGCATGGGTTACAAGAATGAAACTCCGTCTCAAAAAATAAAGTCTCTCGGTTGGCCGGGCGCGGTGGTTTACGCCTATAACCCTAGCACCTTGGGAGGCCTAGGCCAGTGGATCACTTGAGACCAGGAGTTTGAGACCTGCCTCTCTACTAAAAAAATATGAAAAATTAGCTGGGCGTGGTGGTGTTGTATTTGACCGGAGCGTAGAAAGTTATCACAAGACAAAAGTATGCCAGATTGCAGGGTCATTTATTATGCTGGCGACCACAGAGGACTCACGTCTCTCCAACCTGTGGTGGTAACAGGAGGGTGCCACGATTTTTTTATACCCGAAAAACCACCTTGGGAGTGGGGGTGAGGGGCGGGGATGGGGATGAAAAGGCTTCAGACATTCCGAGGGCTAGTGGATTCTGTAAATTACCTCCTGGGCAGAGATGAGGGTGGGGGTCTCCGGACATTCCAAGGGATGGGGACTTTTGTCATTCCGTTTGTTACTTAAGTGGTTTACAGAAGTCAAGATAAACATTTGTTTACACATTATCTGGTTAAGGTGGAAATCACAGACCTTAGTTACTTATTACAAGCCACAGGAGCCAGGATGGACCTAGCTTGGGCTGCTTAGTCTGGCAATTGCCGGTAAGCAAAGGCTAGCAATTCTGGCAGTTACTGATAAGAAAAGGTAAACAGCTTTACATAGTTTTGAAGAACAAACTAACAGTTCTATTTACAGAGGCCAAGGACCGTAGTTATTGTAAGGAGAATGGGGCAGCCATTTCAACTTATATAAAAACAGTTTTGCATTTTATAAAATAGTTTTGCTCCGGTTCTGGCTCTAGGCCAGCACAATGTCACACAAAGGCCAGGGGACTTTTGTCATTCCGTTTGTTACTTAAGTGGTTTACAGAAGTCAAGATAAACATTTGTTTACACATTATCTGGTTAAGGGGGAAACCACAGACCTTAGTTACTTATTACAAGTCATAGGAGCCAGGATGGAACTAGCTTCGGCTGCTTAGTCTGGCAATTGCCGGTAAGCAAAGGCTAGCAATTCTGGCAGTTACTGATAAGAAAAAGGTAAGCAGCTTTACATAGTGGCTAGTTTGCAAAGCAAACTAGCAGTTTTATTTATAGTAGACAAGGACAGTAGTTATTGTGAGGAGAATGGGGCAGCCACTACAACTTATTTAAAAACAGTTTTGCATTTTATAAAATAGTTTTGCTCCGGTTCTGGCTCTAGGCCAGCACAATATCACAGTGGCATATGCCTGTAATCCCAGGAGGCCAAGGTTGCAGTGAGCCGAAATTGCCCCACTGCACTCCAGCCAAGGTGACAGAGGGAGACTGTCAAAAAAAAGAAAAAAAAAAAAAATTCTCAGTAGACCATTTAACCTGGATTGAGTTCTGACATTTGTGTATGGTATTCAAAAGCGTATGTATAATAGAGTCGGATTTTTTTGTTCTGATTTTTGTGGGATATTTTTCTTTGTTATGAAACTTAGTGACCAATTAGGAGACCAATAGAAAGATAAGTATGGCAAGGTGGTTAATAGCATGTGCTCTTGATAGTAAATGTTAGAATCCTGGTTGCACTAAGAGAAGAGTAACTTGCCTAATTTAGTTGACTTTCTGAGCCTTCATTTCCTCACATGTGAAATTGGACTAAAAATAATGACTTAATCATAGGCTTGACCTGGGATTCAGTGAATTAACCTGTCCTAAAGTGACTGTAAACAAGAATAGATTTGGTCTGTGACTACTGGACAATGAAGACCAGAGAAACTGTTTCACTTTCAAAATAAAATTAATGAAATTGCAAAGAAAATGTGAGCTGTCATGCTCTGTGTTTCTTTAATTATAGTATGAGGTATGTTATTTTGAAAGCTCTGTTTCAGTTACAAATATTTGACAATTGTCACCTTACACGAAGGAAATTATAAGTTGAAATTGTCATCTACAAAGACAGTTTCTTTTCACAGATTTTGAAAAACATAAGTTAAATTGTAGAAACTTTAGTATATTCTTCAGCTTCTCTTTTCTCTTAGTATCTAATCTTATTAAAATTGCCAGATAGTTCAATCAAAATATTTTACAGTGAAAATTGTGTAATTTTGGCTGTCCCGAAACCTTTACTCAGGAACACCATTGTGGTCTCCAGTTTGGCAGCTTTAATAAATACAAGTGTTTACTTTTGTATCCATTAAACTGTCATGAATATAAAAATGCAAAGCAATAATGCAAAGCAATGATACATGTATTTTTGATTTTTTTATATGTTCCTTTGAAGAAATATGAGTATATTTCAGATCCTAAGACAAGTAGTGTATTAGTAATTTAGAGCAGGGTTGGCAAACGTTTTTTGTAAAGGAGCAGATAGTAAATGTTTTTGCCTTTGTGAACCATATGGTCTCTGTGGTAACTACTTAGATCTGCTGTGAAAGCAGCAATAGAAAGCATGATGTGGCTTTGTTCCAATAAAATTTTATTTACAAAACTATTGGCTGCCATAGTTTGGTGACTCCTTGCTTAGAATATTGTAACAATGCCTGTAGACAATGAGCAGAAAATACAGAACATGGTTTTATGCTAATTTGTTTTGTTAAGAGTGGGGTATCCTAAAACCTGAGATCCTCTTAGGGGAAGGTTCCCAGAGGCATGTATGGGAGGCTTACAGTGACAGAGTATCAAGGTTGATGGACTAGGCAACTCTTGAACACAGTATGTTCACTTCCAGCCTATTATTCTCCCCAACCCAACTCTCCAATCATCAATGTCCTAGGCGCTTGTAAGATACCCAGAATAGTGGTCCTACGTCTACTACTACCCTTAACTGTTGTTTGTCCTGGAAACCCTCCACTTCAATAGTGTTAATACCACTGATTTTATTTTCATTACTTTTTAAAAACATCTCCTCTGTGATAGGAGTTAGATAGCTGGTAATTGGCTTAGATTATGATTGAAAGCATTTAAATAATGACTGTAAAAACTATGAGTATCCTCAAACAAGTTGCTGTACTCACATAATTATCAGTATTCTCTTATCTGATTGATGTTTAACTTATCAAATGTATTTTAATAAAAGTGTTCTTTACAGGTCCTGAGAAGTATTTCTCGTTTTCATTGGAGATCACAGCATACAAAATCTGCTCTACAACGTGAACCAGGATTAGGATTTAGTTTTGGTATATGTTCTGTTCTATCTTTTTGACTTTAAAGTTATATATATGAAGCTATATGTATTTGTTTGGAATATGTTTGTAAATAAACTTAATAATGTTTTTAAATAAGTAGAACCAGTCCACGGTCCATATATAGTTCACAATTAATCACACCCATTCTTCCTGATCTCATTTTCTTCCTTAATATACTACACTATACATTAGATCTGTGTTAGCAGCATATATACACTTCTTATGTTCCTTCCTTTTTTTTCTAAATGTTTAGCCCAAAATAAATGAGATTTACTGATATATATGAATAGGCTTCAACTTATGTATTTCAATGCCACAAACGCATTTTAAAACACTTGTTAGATTACAATGCTAGGTGCCTGGTAATAAGCTAAAGCTTGTTTTTGCTGTAATATATCTCAACTGCAATTTTGGTGCCATTAGATGAAGTTCTCCTGGGACCAGGGAGCCATGTGGTTGTTATAGGGAAAAGGAATTTGATTTTTCTTCCTCTGTCCTCTATAAAATGAAAACCACAAGCACAAAATTTGAAATAATAATATCTATCTTCGGCATTCTTAGCCTTCTAAAGTGCTTCTTCAAATTTTTTATTTTTCCTGCAGTTAAAAGCTATTTCCTCAATTCATTTGGTCTTATAACATAAAGGCAGCTGAGATAACTCACAGCTAGGTTCAAATGACAATCTCAAAGTTCTCTAGAGTGATTGTTTTATTATTTGTTGTTGTTGTTTTTTTTTAAAGATCTTTCCCTTTTCTTTACAAAGTTTTTTTTTTTTTTAAACCACAGTTTAAAGAAATTTTCTTTTCTTTTTTAAAGATGAGGTCTCATTATGTTGCCCATGCTGGTCTTGAACTCCTGGGCTCAACCAGTCCTCTTGTTTCAGCCTCCCAAAGTGCTGAGATTATAGGCATGAGCCACTGCACTCAGACCAAATGAAAATTTTCTGCGTTTTTTTTTTTTTTTTCTGTGACTCTAGCCAAAGACTAAATGAAAATTTTCTTTTCTTTTGAGATGGAGTCTCACTCTGTCACCCAGGCTATGGCTCACTGCAACCTCCACCTCCCAGGTTCAAGTGTGTCTCCTGCCTCAGCCTCCCGAGTAGCTGGGACTACAGGTGTGGGCCACCATGCCCGGCTAATTTCTATATTTTTAGTAGAGATGGGGTTTTGCCATGTTGGACAGGCTGGTCTCGAACTCCTGATTGCAAGTGATCCACCTGCCTCTGCCTCTGCCTCTCAAAGTGCTGGGATTACAGGAATGAACCACTGTGCCCAGCCTAAGTGAAAATTTCCTTTTTTTCTTTTCTTTGTCTTTTTTCTCTTTCTCTAGCCAAAGAGAAAATGAAAATTTTCAAGCAGTGTGAGGATAGCCATTTGGGATAATGGATCCCTGTTTTTGTTTTGTTTTGTTTTGTTTTTTTGAGACTGAGTCTTGCTCTGTTGCTCAGGCGGGACTGCAGTGGTACCATCTGGGCTCACTGCAACCTCTGCCTCCTGGGTTCAACTGATTCTTCTGCCTCAGCCACCCAGGTGGCTAAGATTACAGGTGTGGGCCACCACGCCTGGCTAATTTTTGTATTATTAGTAGAGATGAGGTTTTGCCATATTGGCAATGCTGGTCTTGAACTCCTTGCCTCAAGTGATCCACCCGTCTTGGCCTCCTAAAGTGCTGGGATTATGGGCATGAGCCACCATGCCCAGCCAGGACAGTAGAGCTTACTGAGATAATTAGCTAATTTGGTATGATTGCTTGTCACTTAGAATTGTACGCTCAGTAGTAAGAGGCTCACAGGAGAAATCCATGGTGATTCACTGAGTGACAAAGGATAAGGTAGATATAATTGTTTGGGAGAGAGATTGTGAAGTTCAGTACAGGTTTATTCTTTGAACCAGTTGCATCTGTTTCTTCATAAAATGGGAATAATATGTATATACAGAATTTCTATGAAAATTAAATTATATGCAGTACTTAAAGTCCCTAGCATATAGTGACTGGATCAAAGTAGTTTCTCAATAAATAATACATAATACATCCTTGTCATTTCTACTTTTTTTTTTTTTGAGATGGCGTTTCACTCTTGTTGCCAAGGCTGGAGTGCAATGGTGCCATCTCGGCTCACTGCACCCTCCACCTCCCAGGTTGAAGTGATTCTCCTCCCTCAGCCTCCTGAGTAGCTGAGACTACAGGCGGGTGCCACCATGCTTGGCTAATTTTTTGTATTTTTAGTAGAGACGTGGTTTCACTGTGTTAGCCAGGATGGTCTCCTGACCTGGTGTTCTGCCTGCCTCAGCCTCCCAAAGTCCTGGGATAACAAGCATGAGCCACCTGGCCTGGCCATTTTTTTTTTTAAGAGAGAGTTTCACTCTGTCACCCAAGCTGGAGTGCAGTGATGTGATCATAGCTCACCACAACCTTGACCTCAGGGGCTGCAGGGATTCTCTGGCCTCAGCCTCCTGAGCAGTTAGGACAACAGGCCCATGTTACCACACCCAGCTGATTTTTAAAATTTTTAAATGTTTTGTAGAGACAGAGTCTTGCTATGTTGCCCAGGCTGGCCTCAACCTCCTGGCCTCAAATGATCCATCTGCCTCAGCCTCCCAAAATTCCAGGATTATAGGTGTCAGTGACTGTGCCCAGATGTTCTCTACCCTCTATCTACCCGCAAGATTGATATACTGAGGGACTAGAATTTCCTTACTCTGCATTAGTTTATCTGTAAAAAGAGACATTTGATCTTATGCTCTTCAATTCAGCACCAAAATTTTACTTTTATATGTTATTTTTCACATCCCCATTCAAGTGATTAGTATGGTCTTAAACATTCTTCTCTGTGTTTGCTCTCATTTTTCTTGCTTGAAATACCCTATTATCTCTTTTAAATTTTACCTAGTCTTTGATGTTAGACACAACCACATTAAAACACAAGGATACAGGGGATTTGAAAAAATGCAGTTAACAATGGGCTCCTGCCCTCAGTCAAGCCACCATACTAATTTAATTAATTTTATAGCAATAATCCCTTATTTTAAGTAAACAAATTATTTGGACACCATTTATTAGCATTGCAGCAGGATTTTATGTTGTTATTGTCTTTTGAAAAACCTTTCTACAACTTTTACCAGTGCTTTGTGCTAATTTATAATCATGTCTGAGTTTAAAGGAGCAGTAAGCTTGGGCTTGGTGGCCTCATGCTTATAATCCCAGCACTTTGGAAGGCCGAGGTGGGTGGATCACCTGAGGTCAGGAGTTCTGAAACCAGCCTGACAAACACGGAGAAACCCCATCTCTACTAAAAATACAAAATTAGCCAGGCATGGTGGCGCATGCCTGTAGTATCAGCTACTTGGAAGGCTGAGGCAAGAGAATCACCTGAACCCTGGAGGCAGAGGTTGCGGTGAGCCAAGATCACGCCATTGCACTCCAGCCTGGGAAACAAGAGTGAAACTCTCAAAAAAAAAAAAAAGGACAGGGCAAGGTGGCTCCCAGCACAGATGGTCGAATCATTTGAGCCCAGGAGTTCCAGACTAGCTTGGGTAACATGGCAAAATCCTGTCTCTATAAAACTTACCATAATTAGCCAGATATGGTGGCATGTGCCTGTGGTCCTAGCTTTTGAGAGGCTGAGGTGGGAGGATCATTTCAGGCCAGGAGGTCAAGGCTACAGTGAGTTGTAATTATACCACTGCACTCTAGGCTGGATGACAAGGTGAGACTGTCTCAAAAACAAAAAAAGGTAAAATGAAAATTATGATACTGATATTCTTAAATGACACTTTGAAATAAGTTTTATTGCTTTATGGTCACTGTATTTCATCTATTAGATTGATTTTTGTGATTGGGGATATATCTTCTATGTTAGCTTCACTTCAGTGTTAGTAAACATTTGATAAATAGGCTTAGGAACTAATAATAAGTTAAATCTTTTTAATATCACCAATTGGAAAAGAAAAGCTCACTTGAGCTCTATGGGTTAAAATCTATTACTCATTTGTAAAAGTTAGAAATCTTACCTATTTCCTTTAGCATTTGTATTGACATAGGTTTATTTATGTTGTGTAGTGAACTCTTGATTAGTCAAAAAATGCACTGTAGTCTGACTTTCGGATTAATCAAGGGTTTAAGTCCCCACTATAAATACATATTTACATATACTGACTCCATAGGACATTTTTCCTTAACTTGTTATCCAATTTTAATCTTTTCTAAATAACTTTCCCTTAGAGCTCACCGAACAGCAGAAAGAATTTCAAGCTACTGCTCGTAAATTTGCCAGAGAGGAAATAATCCCAGTTGCTGCAGAATATGATAAAACTGGTGAAGTAGGTATACACCTTTTAAAGAGAGAAAAATCTTTTATATTTTTTATAAGGTTATGTAATCAAACTCTCTGGATTTTAAAATATATTATAACTCGGTTCTTTCCTTTTTCTCCTAGTATCCAGTCCCCCTAATTAGAAGAGCCTGGGAACTTGGTTTAATGAATACACACATTCCAGAGAATTGTGGTAAGCTTTCTTTATATTTTTAATACTGGAATGCATATGATTAGGAAAAATTATGGAACTCTACTCAGTCATTTTTTTCAAATCCTTTGTATTCCTGCTTAGCCTACAATGTTTGCCTGCTTTTGGAGGCTTGTACTCCATACTTAGATGCATTTTTCCTTCTTCTAACTGGTTCCGACCTTAACTTGCACCTAAACTTTGGTAACTTCTGTTTCTAGAGTTGGTCAATTTGTTGCTTTTTTTTTTTTTTTTTTTTGAGACTGAATTTCACTCTTGTTGCAAAGGCTGGAGTGCAATGGCGCGATCTCGGCTCACGGCAACCTCCACCTCCTGGGTTCAACGATTCTCCTACCTCAGCCTCCCAAGTAGCTGGGATTACAGGCATGCGCTACCACGCCCAGCTAATTTTGCATTTTTAGTAGAGATGAAGTTTCTCCATGTTGGTCAGGCTGGTCTCGAACTCCCGACCTCAGGTGATCCTCCCGCCTCAGCCTCCCAAAGTACTGGGATTACAACCGTGAGCCACTGCACCCAGCCAATTTGTTGCATTTTAATCCTACCTTCTATATTCAATTTTATTGAGTCTTTTTTGTGAACTATCATTCTTTTCCTCAGACCCAGTTTTGGAGTTGAATTGAGTTTTTTTTTTTTTTAAAGATGGAGTTTCACCATGATGGCCAGGCTGGTCTTGAACTCCTGACCTCAGGTGATCCACCCACCTCAGCCTCCCAAAGTGCTAGGATTACGGGCATGAGCCACCTCACCCGGCTGAATTGAGTTTTAACAGAATCAAGTTAGAACAGGAATATAGGATCAAGTTACAAATAGTATGTTTTTGAAAATTTTAGAGCTTGTCTTAGAAAAGTATAATTTCTTATTGTGCCAGCCAGAACACGTGTAGATATTATATTTTGAATTTCCTTTTAAAACAAATTCTGTGTCATATTGAAAGCAATTAAAGTCATTTACCTTTATTTCTACCATGATGCACTACATATTATAATGTGTTAAAACATTTTGATACTGTAGGAGGTCTTGGACTTGGAACTTTTGATGCTTGTTTAATTACTGAAGAATTGGCTTATGGATGTACAGGGGTTCAGACTGCTATTGAGGCAAATTCTTTGGGGGTAAGTTACTTAGAAAATTAATTACCTAACTGAGCCCTTGTTAATGAGATAGTTACTCCCAAACAAGCTGGATTTTAAAATAAAAAAAAGAAGAGTCAGTTACTACTAGGTTAGGTTAATGGGTAAACACAGTTTTCTTTAAAAAGGAATGCAAAATTCAGCATTGAAGCCTGGAGTTCTGATTTGAAGGCTTGATCACTCTGACCTTGTTGTGTCTAGTACTTGGAGTTCTGACTGTATTTGTGAGGAAACCGTATACTTTGGCTGCAGCTTCAGTGGCAATTCTTAGGTAAAGCCAAGGGCTAAATCCAGCATTCAGGAGCAGGATTGGGATGGCTTGCTGCCTCTACTGGCAGTACTGAAATTTAGCAAATAATCCTTAGGCCTAATCATACATACCATGTCACATATTCTAAACATAATTTTTTATTTGTGCATTTTACCGTAGTAGATTTTCACAGATTATAATGCCACGAGTCCTACAGATAATTTTATGAAAATGCTTAGATTAGCAGATTTATTTCCTCATAGTTTTAGCTCTCTAACTTAGAGGCAAGGTATAGTCCAGTTCTTTGGACCTCTTGGGTGAAAAATAGTTCTTTCATTTTGAATTATAGCATCTTTGAATTTACGCATCTAATAAAAATGACTTGACTTTTTAATGTCAAATTTCTTTGGTAGGAAATTCCCGTTATTATTGCTGGAAATGATCAACAAAAGAAGAAGTATTTGGGGAGAATGACTGAGGAGCCATTGATGTGTGTGAGTATGTGTAGCAATGCTTTATCTCACACTTAAGAAGGGAACAAAAGTGCTACTTCTCCTTTTCAGTTCATATGTATATATTGGGATATATAGCATTGAAATAAAGTTAGCAACATATTAATACAATGATGTTTTGAAGATGCCAAGAAAGTGTCATAATAGGTTGAGTGTGGTGGCTCATGCCTGTAATTCCAGCACTTTGGGAGGCTGAGGCGGGCAGATTACTTGAGGCTAGGAGTTAGCCTGGCTAACATGGTGAAACCTGGTCTCTACTGAAACTACAAAAATTAGCTGGGGGTGGTGGCACCTGCCTATAATTCCAGCTACTCAGGAGGATGAGGCACAAGAATCACTTGAACCCAGGAGGTGGAGGTTGCAGTGAGCTGAGATCACACCACTGCACTCTTGCCTGGATGACAGAGTGAGTGAGACTCCATCTCAAAAAAAAAAAAAAAAAATGTTGTAATAATTTCCTTGCTTATTTCCAGGAGAAGAGATATCTACTTGTGATGTTTCTGAGATGTGAAAAAGTGTCATAATAGGGCCAGGCTCAGTGGCTCACGCCTATAATCACAGCACTTTGGGAGGCCGAGGCAGGCAGATCACCTGAGGTCAGGAGTTTGAGACCACCTTGGCCCACATGGTGAAACCCTGTCTCTACTAAAAATACACAAAAAAATTAGCTGGGTGTGGTGGCACATGCCTGTAACCCCAGCTACTGGAGAGGCTGAGATAGGAGAATTATTTGAACCCAGGAGGCAGAGGTTGCAGGGAGTGGAGATGCACCATTGCACTCCAGCCTGGGTGAAGAAGTAAGACTCTGTCTACAAAAAAAAAAAAAGAGTGTCATAATAATCCCATTACTATATCCAGTAGAGAGACATCTATTTAATGGACCATTCTGCACTTCAAGAACTGAGTCATTGTGTCAGGAAGTTCAGATTGAATGTACAGCAATGCATGTTTGAACTAGTAGTGTTTTGAATTAGTAAAAAATTAATGTTGGCTCATCATGGTAGCTCATGCCTGTAATCCCAGCACTTCGAGAGGCGGAGGCAGGTGGATCACGTGAGGTCAAGAGTTTAAGACTAGCCTGGCCAACATGGAGAAACCCTGTCTCTACTAAAAATACAAAAATTAGCTGGATGTGGTGGCGCTAGCCACCTAATTGGGAGGCTGAGGCATGAGAATCTCTTGAAACTGGGAGGCACAGGTTGCTGTGAGTAAAGATGGTGCCACTGCATTCCAGCCTGGGCAACAGAGTGACATTCTGTCTCCAAAAGAAAAAAAAAAAAAATTAATCTGGGCTGTGCATAGTGACTTACACCTATAATCCCAGCACTTTCAGAGAATGAAGCAGGAGAACAGCTTGAGCCCAGGAGTTCAAGACCAGCCTGGGCAACACAGTGGGACCCTGTCTCTAAATCAGTCAATTGATCAATCAATCAACCAACCAGCCAACCTACCAACCTACCAACCTACCAGCCTACCAGCCTACCAACCAACCTACCATTAACTGAAGAAATAGCAACTTATTTGTTGAGTGACTGGATGACTTGGGAAGAATAGTTGTAGAGTTTATGTAAACCTCTGAGAGCAACTCAACAAATTTTCAAATTAGATTTTTTTAAAAACATACACACACTGACTCTGTTCTAAAACCTAAGGATTTTTACTTCTTGTTTACTCAAACATATTTCAATCTAATGTGTAATTGTTATGCTGAAATACAGATTTATTAATTTTGAGCTAATGATAATTCATCTTAAAGAACAGAAAGTAATACTTGAAAATAAATTTTTTTATTTCAGATACCTAAATATCAGGCAAACTGTTTAATAAAGGTGTTTGTACATATTTCCTAGGAAATTTGCAATTTTTTAAACAACGGAGAGTTTAGTCAAACATTCTCACTGTTGACGATGAGAACTGTGTGAAACATCTAGATTTTTCTCCAGCCAGCTCTCCATATCCATGAGGGAATGGTTTAGGACCTGTTGCTCTCCGTATCAAAATTTTTGATTGCTCAAGTCCCTTATACAGAATGTACAGTTAGCCCTTCATATCTGTGGGTTTTGATCCACAATTGGTTGAATTCATGGATGCAAAACTCATGGATGCCAAGGGTAAATTTTTTGAAAATTAAAATATTTAAACTCTTCTGATTATAAAATACTGAGTATAGAAAATTTAGAAACGTTTAAAGAAGAACAAAAAATCTGTAATCTCTCAGATATGAAGTTAATTAGTATTACTTCCTTATTGTAGTTCCTGCCAGATTTTTAAGTATGCAATTGTGTTTTTAACAATAAGGGCCCTATTATATACTTATAGTTATATATACTTCTTTATTTGATAACATGAACATTTTCTTATGCTCTCCATTTTAAATGCTGTAACATTACTGCATAATTTGCTATCTAATGGATAAGCTATAAAATTATTTCACTATCTGTACTGTTGAATGTTTAAACTCCTTGAGTTTTTACTTTAGAAAACAGTGTTATGGTAAAAAATGATACAGAAAATAAATGAATGAATGAACGAATGATCAAATAAGAAGACAAGGCCAGGCTAGGCATGGTGGCTCATGCCTGTAAGTCTAACACTTTGGGAAGCCAAGGCAGGAGGATTGCTTGAGGCCAGGAGTTCAAGACTAGCCTGGGCAACATGGAGAGACTCTGCCTCTACAAAAAGAAAAAAATCATATATATGTATTTTACATATATATATTACAATAAGAAAAAAAAAGAAAAAGATGACAAGAACAACTCTGAAGTACCAGTAGTGACAAGCCATTTTGTATAGAAAAAACAGATCCATTTACTTCACAAGCTCTAAAAACTTCACCATATTTCTCTTATGAAAAAGAAAGATGTCTAATAGCATATTTCAGTGAAAATATAACTAAAAGTGGTTAAAACAAAATGTTGGTACTTAAAAGGGGCATCTTTTATGGACAGCTTCTTATTTTGTTATGATGATGAAGACATCATTGAATCTCCAGGTAGCAGAGTAATCTAATTCATTTAACTTGAGTCACACCTGAATCCCCTCTACAGAATCCATGTCAAAAAACCATCTAGCTAACATGTTTTTATGCCTCAGGTGCCTGAGAGTCAACACCTTTTGAAGTAGCACCAATTGCAAGCATCTGTATCATTAGAAAAATATTTTAGATTTCATGGTGCTGAAGCACAGAATCTGTCATTTTTATAATTTTAGCAGCTTATAATAGGTGTTTAATAAATGTACTTTCACTGTAGTTTTCCCTTGGCTATATTGCCCTTCAGATGTTTGAGTGTAGTTATTATGATTATGATTATTTTATTTTATTTTTTTCTGAGATGGAGTCTTGCTCTGTCACCCAGGCTGGAGTGCAGTGGTGGGAACTCAGCTCACTACAACCTCTGCCCCCACCCCCGCCAGTTCAAGTGATTCTCCTTCCTCAGCCTCCCCAGTAGCTGGGATTACAGGCACCTGCCACCACAACTGGCTAATTTTTTGTATTTTTAGTAGAGATGGGGTTTCACCATGTTGGCCAGGCTGGTCTCAAACTCCTGATTTTAGGTGATCCGCCCACCTCGGCCTCCCAAAGTGCTGGGATTACAGGTGTGAGCCACTGCACCCAGCCCTAAGTAATCATTTCTAATGCCCCTATGTACTGTTACTACTTTAAATTAAAATAAAATGTTTATAGTTTCTTTTTTTGTTGTATGTTTTTTAAAAATAAAATGAGGTGGGTTCTCTCTATGTTGACCAGGCTGGTCTGAAACTCCTGGTCTCAATCGATTTTCCCATCTCAGCCTCCCAAAGTGCTAGGATTACAGGTGGGGGCCACCAGGCTCGACCCACTTTTTTTCTTTCTTTGGACTATAACTACCTTAAGGGCAAGGAAGGAACTTGTTTCTTTAGTATCCACAGTACCTGCCACTCTTTAATTAACTTGTACTAATGCTTGCCTTGTACCACCCCCTTTCATCCATTATTGCTTGTGTCTTGTCACTCCTGTTTAAGAGCCTTAAGAGGGTCGCCTGTTTCTACCAGATAAAATTTTAAATTTGTAATGTGATATAAAGGATTCTCATCAACCATTTCCTTTCTTTTTTCCAGACTCATGTCTTACATTCCCTTACATGCACAGATTTCACATACTGTGGAACTCTGGTGCTTTCAGCATTGCAAACACTGCGTAACCCCGTTATCTTACAATCATTCCATATGCCATTATTTCTACCTGGAATGCATACTCCTCTTTTTCCCTCCTCCCAAATAATCCATTTTCCTTTTTGAGCTAGTTTCTCAAGCCCCTTGTCTGTGATTTTTACATATAGAGTTGCAATATAATTATTTATTTCCACTGTTACATTGTGAAAATCTCTAGGACTGAATGTCTTTTCTCTCTTAATTCCACATATCCTAATCTATATCACCCTACATAGTAGATATTCAATAAAGGTTTGCATGAATGAACACATGTGAAATTGAATTTAATGAACTTGTTTGAAGCTACCTAACATTTTCACTTTTTAATTAAATATGTGATTTATTGATATTCCTATGCCTAATTTTAATTTATATATTAAATGTTTTTAGGCCAGGCACTGTGGCTCATCCCTGTAGTCCTAGCACTTTGGGAGGCTGAGGCAAAGGGTTGCTTGAGCCCAGGAATTTGAGACTAGCCTAGGCAACACAGTGAGACTCCATCTCTACAAAAAATTTTACAATTAGCCAGGCATGGTGGTGTGTGCCTGTAGTCCCAGCTACTATACACGGGAGGCTGAGGTGGGAGGGTTTCCTGAGTTCAGGAGGCTAAGGCTGCGGTGAACCTTTGCACTCCAGCCTGGGCAAAAGAACAAGACCCTGTTTCTCAAAAACAAAAAAGTTTTTACATTTTAGTGGTTTATTTGATCTACTAAGAACATTTTAATTTTAGGTATTTTCAAATATTTAAAATACAGCTTAAACTATCCTGTTTCCAAACATTCAAAATTTAATCACTAACATTTAATTTCATTTCTCTTGTTTTTATGTATTCAAGGCTTATTGTGTAACAGAACCTGGAGCAGGCTCTGATGTAGCTGGTATAAAGACCAAAGCAGAAAAGAAAGGAGACGAGTATATTATTAATGGTCAGAAGATGTGGATAACCAACGGAGGAAAAGCTAATTGGTATGTCGTTCAAAACATCTTTGTATATTTCTTCTTAATTGTTTTTATCTTCAAATCTCGCTTTTTTATTTCCGTATATTGTTAAACCACTACAGTTAAGGTAAGTTATGTTATGTTTGTGGAACTGGATGGTCTATAAGAGATTATAAACAGTTCGGTGATTTTCAAAAACGATTTTTAAGCCCCTGCACTGTTTTTTCAAATTAACTCTCAGAAGTTTAATTTGTAAAATAAAATACATATACGTGCTCTGTTTGAATCTGATTAGGAAGCCTAGCACTCTATCTACTTAGCTTGTTATCTCCACTCCTCATCTCCTATGCCAGCCACTCCTTGAAACTTCTAGTGGAAAATTCTGAGGAAAAAGGAAAACCTTTGGTATAGTACATGTCTCTGATTGTCAGAAATAAGCAGAGGCAGTCTTAAAACAGGTTATCCATTAGAGAAGACAGAATTTGACTTTAATAAAATCTGAAAATGTCTAATATATGGTCAAAAAATAATATGGAGTTCAACAAAGGATCAAAAGTCATTTGTATAAATATAAAATATTAAAAACACTTGATTATTTGTTGATAAAACATGAGGAAAGTTCAATAAGTAACTCTTAAGTTCAATAGGAATCAACAGTATGAGCCTTTAAAAAGCTAATGTAATTTTAAGTCAAAGTAATAGAAGTACAGCATCAAATAGGAGAGAAAAAATGGTGACAGTTCTGGGCAACACATTTTAAACCATGTATTGAAAAAATGGACTAAATCGAGAGGCAGGTAAGTGTCTTGCATTAGGAGGATCCTACAAAACATGTTCTAAAAAGCAAAAGCTTGGGTTTTTTGGAAGAACCTTGAAGTTTTTCAAATATTACACAGAAAGATGATCAGGCTTATATGTTTATTTCAGGATGCCAGCTTAGAATTAATGGGTGAAAGTTAGAAAAATGTAGAATTTAGCTCAACATAAGGACAAGCTTTCTAGCAGCAGTGCTGTTAAGTTGTCCTGGGTAATAAATACTGTATTTCCCCATCACTTACAAGTATATAGAGAGTTTCTAGAAGAACTTTTTATTGATTAGAATAAAGTACCAAATGGCCTATCTCTCTTTGGGAAAATTCTGATTCAATATATTTGTGTGCCATATAGTATGGTTTCTAGCAAATGAAACATCATTTTTGGCAAATGAGCCTGCTAAAAATTCATTTAGTTTAAATATATCAATCCATTCCTTATGAGCATCCTAAATATATTCAGTATTATGGAGTGCTATATCTTTAAGCAATTCACGGTAATATCAGCAACTAATAAAAAAGTGAAGAAACTATTAAAATTTAACAAGTTGAGAGAAATGTAACAATGCAGTTTGAAGCTTTTGTAATTTTAAGAATGGATTAGCTAGGTGCAGTGACTCACATCTGCACTCCCAGCACTTTGGGAGGCTGAGGCAGGAAGATTGCTTAAGCCCAGGGGTTCAAGACCAGTTTGGGCAACACAACGAGACCCTGTCTTTACAAAATTTAAAAAAAAAAAAAAAAAGGTAAGAAGAAGAGAGCTGATTACAACTGTTTATGTAGTAAAACAAATTAGGTAATATATGAAACCAGAAAACAATTTTTACAATTTTGTTACTATTATTAATATTAAATAAAACTATAGAGTGAGTGGTAATGTATTGGTTTTAAGCATGGAAAATGAGCTTGTATTGTTTAGGGAAGAGTATACCTTTTTAAAAGAATTTTTCATGTACCAGGGTATATAGAACATGAGTTAGACAGATGCTTGGATATTTGCATTATTTTCTTATGTTTCACTTCAAAATTTCTGAGAAAAATTTTTCTGAAGGAAAAAAACAGCAAATATTCATAGTAACTCAGCTATAATAAAAACACTGACTTTGCTGCATAAACAAACAGTAGTTGGAACATATGGGTCTCTGTTTTATATTACTCCTTTTCACAGGCAGCTCTATTTGCCCTCCTTTTCAAGATAGCATGCCCCTTAAAGAATGAAATTCGTTTTGGGAAAGAAAAAGTGCCAGTTTCAACATGCAAAGACTGTCTTGTTATATTACATTATTATTATACCAGGGATTTTTACTTACAACTCATGTTACTAAAACCAAGTTAAATACCATACTGTAGTCCCTCCTTAGCCTTGCAGGATACATTGCAGGACCCCTAGTGGATGCCTGTAACCTCAGAAGTACCAAACCCTATACATACTATGTTTTTTTAATAAAGTGGGCCCAGTAAGAGATTAACAACAACTACTAATAAAATAGAATTATAACAATGTATTGTAATAAGTTATGTAAATGTAGGCCAGGCATGGTGGCTTACACCTGTAATCCCAACATTTTAGGAGGCCAACGTGGGAGGATCCCTTGAGTCCAGGAGTTTGAGACCAGCCTGGGCAAAGCAGTGAGACCTCATCTCTACAAAAAATAAACAACATTAGCTGGTGGCACATGCCCATAGTACCAGCGACTCAAAAGAGGTGGGAGGATTGCTTGAGCCTGGGAAGTCAAGGCAGCAGTGAGCCAATACCATGCCACTATACTTCATCCTGGGCAACAGAGTGAGATCTTGTCTAAAACAACAACAACAACAACAACAAAAAGTTATGTAAATGTGCTCTTTGTCTTTCAGAATATCTTGTGTGTACCTGCGGGTAACTGAAACCACAGAAAGTGAAACCCCATGGAATGGGGGAGGGCCTACTGTGTTATTAAGACACAGACCTCAAATACTAGCTCTTCCATATACTAGGTACTATAAGCCTAATCATCTTTCTGTGTAATAATATTTGAAAAACTTCAAGATTCTTCTAAAATATCCAAGCCTTTGCTTTCCAGGACATGTTTTGTAGGCTTCTCCTAGTGACTAGATAAGTTTTTAAACCTGATTCTTTATTTCCTCATTTGTAAAATGTAGGTAAAAATAATTGGGATTGTTAAGAGGATTAACTGAGAGAGCAATCACCATGTTTTATTTGCTGATATTATTATCACCATTATCATGTGTATATATCTCTTAGGTATTTTTTACTGGCACGTTCTGATCCGGATCCTAAAGCTCCTGCTAATAAAGCCTTTACTGGATTCATTGTGGAAGCAGATACCCCAGGAGTGCAGATTGGGAGAAAGGTAAAGTGTTTATCAATGATTAGGACCCCAAATATTATTTTAGTTATAAATTGCAAAATTACTTAACCTTCCTTTAATGAAAACATTTGTTTGTATTAGGTTGGAGTGAAAATAAAGCTGTGTTTTGATATTAGATCAAATAGTCTATATACTACTGAAGATTTTGTGAATAGTCATTTCAAGTCATTTTGAAAGAGTGGTGCCAACCTATGGAAAAGGCTAATAACAGCTGTAAGGAATAATGAAGTAGAAATCAAGCTATCATTTATATTACCTGACCAATAATAAGAATTTTGGATATTTCAAAGGACTTAACCACTCTTTCCCCGTTGGATCCTCACAGCAACTTTTGGTAGTATAAGCGGCACTATGCCCATTTTACTGATAAAAACAATGACATAATTGAGATGATACAAGGTCATACAACACTAAGAAAAAAGTCTATGCCTGAAAAGAGTGTAGAAAATAGCAAATAGCCTTGAATGTGAAAAGGCAAGAGAATCTCATGTAAATAAGAAAAGGTAATCTAATATACTGTATTTGAAAAGGGTTGTATTCTGAATATGTGGAGATACATTTGGCATTTAAAGTAAACTAAAAAGAGTTTAAAATTTTATAAATCAGAGTTTAGAATTATACATTTTATAAAGAAGTGTAGGGCTGTTGGGCCCCACAAGGTCGTGGGGTGTCCCTTATGCTGTGCTGAAGTGCAGGATCCGAGAAGAGACAGGACACTGTAGAACTGGTGAAGAGCATCTGGACTTGGGGGCCACACCACTTATGAGCGGAGACAGGCGAGGCCCCGAATGCCCAGAAGCGTCTGTATTTATTACGTACAAGCAGAGGGCAGGATCATGAGTGAGGTTATCATCTATAGACTTAGTGATAGGGCATACATAATCGCGTGAGTCGCAAGCAAGGGGGCCACCCCATTATGTCACCTGGGCAGAGAGGTGGGCCGTGCGCAGTAGGGGGTCATGTACAGAAAAGGGATGCACCCCCATTAGGTCACTGAGGCAAGGAGGTGGGCTGTGTGCAACTGGTGTCCTACGCAACACTTCTTATCTAGGGGCTGGAGACTTCAAAAGGATTTCTAATAGAAGGATACTGTAAGCCAATGCAGTGGGAGCTGACAGACTTGTGCTCTTCTCTTAAGATATTTATGGGAGGATGATTTGAGCTAGCACGGAAGCAAGGAAAGACTGACATGGTGTACAGCCGCAGTGACTGGTCACACCAGAGGGGTTCTTCTCCCTCGGTTATTTCTAGGATCTCAGGCCTGAGGCCTACTTTCCACCAGAACTGGATGCAAGGAATTACAACTCCTTTATCAGGAGGAGAGGCTCTTACTCCAAGCCTGCCATACAGCGTATGCCCTTTCAGGCAGTCATGCCACCACTTGGGTCTTTGGTTCTTGTCCTGGTCTGGCTGTTTTCCCATGTACTGCTTCTGTTCTGTGACTGCTCTAGGCATTCCTCCTACTACAAACTACTATATGGTTATATGGAAGGATTATATAAATCAGCACTAAATGTGTCGATACAGCTCCGACTACAATACCTATATGATTATATAGAAAGATTATATGAGACTAAGTATGATTATATATATAAGCTAGATATAGTAAACAGTAAGTTATACTTCAGGCACTAATTCTATAAACTAACATATGATTTTATATATAAAGGATTATATAAAGGAAATAGCTGAGTTATGACACTATAAACTAAGATATTCTTCAGGCACTAATTGTGCCAGAGGTCTGGACAATTCTCCTTCCTCGGTGCCCATGGGGGAGTGTTACCCACAAAGAAGAAAAGAAATGAAGTCATTAAAGTAATATATATATACATATGTGTGTGTGTGTGTGTGTGTGTGTGTGTGTGTATACATATTTACATTTATATTCCTTTTTTTTTGAGATGGAGTTTCGCTCTTGTTACCCAGGCTGGAGTGCAATGGCGCGATCTCGGCTCACCGCAACCTCCGCCTCCTGGGTTCAGGCAATTCTCCTGCCTCAGCCTCCTGAGTAGCTGGGATTACAGGCACACGCCACCATGCCCAGCTAATTTTTTGTATTTTTAGTAGAGACGGGGTTTCACCATGTTGACCAGCATGGTCTCGATCTCTTGACCTCGTGATCCACCCGCCTCGGCCTCCCACAGTGCTGGGATTACATTTTTTTTTTTTTTTAAGAGACAGAATCTTGCTTTGTTGCCCAGGCTGGAGTACAGTGGCAAGATCTCACTCACTACAGCCTCTACCTCCTGGGCTCAAAAAATAGTCCTACCTCAGCCTTCCGAGTGGCTGGGATTATTGGTACGCGTCACCACACCTGGCTAATTTTTGTATTTTTTGTAGAGATAGGGATTTGCTGTGTTGCCCAGGCGGGTCTCAAACTTCTGGGCTCAAGAGATACTCCTACCTTGGCCCCCTAAAGTGCTGGGATTACAGGCCTGAGCCACTGGGCCCAGCCAAAGTCACAAATTTAGAGGAAGAGTTGAAACCAATATGAAGGTATCCTAGGACCTTACCCACTGTAGTTTCTGTTGCTATATTGTGTATGTTTTCTTTAAAAATCAGATATTAAAGATAGACTGCACTTGATAAACTAATGATACTGTTGTACATAACAAAATTTAAGCACTAAAAATTGTACTTTTCCCAAGAAATTGGTTTTTATTTGTGTAACAGATCATGTTTTTGCCTTAGGAATAGTGGCCAGCAAACTTGGCCAAATGTATGGCCCATCTTTAGAAAGTATAAAGGACCTAACAGCTTATATTTTTTTCAGTAGTAAACTCACTCCTGATTTTTATCTTGCTATTTCTAGTTCTTTTTCTTTTTGCCTAATTGTCTCTCTTAAAAAAATTCTCTACTTCAATAAATATTTGGTAGTGCATACTATATGCAGTATTCTTGCTATTAGAGATACAGTATTGATCAAAATAGACAAAAATCCCTGCCCTTAGATACATTACTTTCTAGTGAGAGATATAAATAATTATATTGTATATATTTAAGCCTCCTTAAATCTTTTTTGAAATAAATGGATATTTACAAATTTGTGAAATTCAGTGTTTTCAGGCCAGGTTTGGTGGTTCATGCCTGTAATCCTAGCACTTTGGAAGGCTGAGCGGGGAGAATTGCTTGAGCCCAGGAGTTCAGGAACAGCCTAGGCAACATGTTGAGACCTTACCTCTACAAAAAAATTTTTAAATTAGCCAGTTGCAGTGACACACACCTGTAGTCCCAGCTACTCGGGAGGCTGAGGTGGAAGGATCATGGAAACCGAGGAAGTTGAGGCTGTAGTGAGCCATGTTTGTGCTACTTCACTCAAGCCTGGATGAGAGTCAGACCTAATGTTTTCAAATATTTTGTGTTTTAGAAATTATATGGTTTGAGATTAGCCCAGGAAGCATTTCGGTTTTAAATGTTGTGGGGTTTGGGATGAATCTGGTAAGGTGTTTTCTCATTATATCTCAATGGTGGTCCAAGATTCTAGTTTATTAACTTTTAAAGACAAAATAAAGGGATGTTGGTTTTCTTTCTAGGTCAAACTATTGTTATCATTTCTTCAAACTCCGAAGCAGACTATTAAAACCAGCAAATTAAGGATTATAGTTCTGTGTTTCCATTGCCCTGTTTCTCATTCTACTTATTAAAAATGAGATTAAGTCCAGGTGTGGTGGCTCACGCCTGTAATCCCAGCACTTTGGGAGGTGGATGTGGGCAGATCGCCTAAGGTCGGGAGTTTGAGACCAGCCTGGCCAACACGGTGGGACCCCCCAGCTCTACTAAAAATACAAAAAAAAATTAGCTGGGTGTGGTGGTGCACTCCTATAATCCCAGCTATGTGGGAGGCTAAGGCAGGAGAATCGCTTGAACCTGGGAGGTGGAGGTTGCTGTGAGTCGAGGTTGCACCACTGCACTCCAGCTCATGCAACAAGAGTAAAACTCCATCTCAAAAAAAAAAAAAAAGAGAAATCAGATCGGTCTTTCCTTAGGAAGAGTCATTTCTGCAACTTCCTCTCATGGTTCAGCATAACACTAATAGTTATATACAAAAAGAAAGAGAGAAATAAAAAACAAAGCAAAAGTATCAAAACATTAACAATTGGTGAATCTATTACAAGTGAAGGGTATGTAAGTACTTATATAACTATTACAACTCCTCCATTTGTGTGAATATTTTTATTTTTATTTCATTTTTTTGAGATGAAGTGTCACTCTGTCACCCATGCTAGAGTGCAGTGGTTCACTGCAACCTCCGCCTCCTGGGTTCAAGCGATTCTCCTGCCTCAGCCTCCCAAGTAGCTAGGACTACAGGTGCACACCACCATGCACAGCTAAGTTTTGTATTTTTAGTAGAGACAGGGTTTCACTGTGTTGGCCAGGCTGGTCTCGATCTCCTGACCTCGTGATCCACCCACCTCAGCCTCCCAAAGTGCTGGGATTACAGGCGTGTGCCACCATGCCCAGCCTGAAAATTTTTAAAACAGGGTTGAGGGAGTATAGCTACTTTAGTAGTTTCTTATAAAGTCAAACATATACTTATCACATAACCAGTGCTCTTAAATAACCAAGAGAAATGAAAATAAAGACTTATAGATGAATGGTTATAGCATGTTTATTAATGATTGCTAAAAATGAGGAGGGAGTATCCATCAACTAGTGAAAAGATAATGGATATATGGTACATCCATAGCGTGTGATACTATTCAGCAGTAAAATAAATTAATTATTGATCATGCAGCAACATGGATGAATCTCAGAAGCACTATACTAAGTGAAAAGTCAGACATAGAAGGCTGGCCTTATTATTTCAGTTAAATGACATTATGAAAAAGGAAAAGCTACACGGATAGAAATCCGACAGTGGTTGCCAGAGGTTGGGTGTAAAATAAGCAAATTGACTATAAAGGGAGAACAAGGTAACTTTTTGGGGTTCTGAAATACTCTATCTTGAGCATGGTGGTGGTTACACACATATACACTTGTCAGAGCTATTAGAAATGTATACATAAAAATGTTGAACTTTTCTATATGTAAATTATACCTCAATAAACCTAATTTTAACCAAGAGTCGAAGGAAAACATAATCAATTTTTATTCAGTAGATTATTGTGCTTGCTCTATTAGTTAACTAAGATTAAAGGTCTCAAATCAGATTATGTTTACTAAATGTTTTTTCTGACATGGTAAAATAGATAGCTTTCAAACATATGACATTTGTCTTTGTTGATACGATATACTGGTAGATCTTTAGGCTAGTGTTGGTTTCCATTTTGTGAAAAATTATTTTAGATTATGGTTGGCAAAGTTTTTTATAAGGATTCAAATTATAAATATTTCAGGCTTTGCAGGCCATATCTTTGTCACAACTACTCAGTTCTGCCATTGTAGCAAGAAGGTAACCGTAGATGATATGTAAACAAAAATGTGTGACCGTATTCCAATCAAGCTTTCTTTGCAAAACAGGCATTGTAGACTATAGTTTGTTGACCCCTGTTTTAGGTGATTGCAGAAAGTCAGGAAACAGTGATTAAAGCAAAAATTGATGCTGACTCAAAAAAAATTCCTTAAAATATATCAATTTTTTTATTAGGAATTGAACATGGGCCAGCGATGTTCCGATACTAGAGGAATTGTCTTTGAAGATGTGAGAGTGCCTAAGGAAAATGTTTTAATTGGTGAGGGAGCTGGTTTCAAAATTGCAATGGGAGCTTTTGATAGAACCAGACCTGCAGTAAGTAATATGAATTGATAATATTTATAGGATCCTTTATTTATTACATTAAATAAGTAGTTTTACTTTAAAATTGTATGTTTAGTGTGTTTCTCTTTTTAATATCTGCTTATTAGGGATACAGGAGAAATATTGTTACTTTTCATAATTTTTTTAGAATTATTCAACTTTTCTATATATATATATATATATATATTTTTTTTTTTTTTTTTGAGTTGGAGTTTCGCTTCTGTTGCCCAGGCTGGAGTGCAATGGCGCAATCTTGGCTCACCACAACCTCTGTCTTCTGGGTTCAAGCGATTCTCCTTCCTCAGCCTCCTGAGTAGCTGGGATTACAGGCACGCGCCACCATGCCCAGCTAATTTTTTGTATTTTTAGTAGAGACGGGGTTTCACCATGTTGACCAGGATGGTCTCGATCTCTTGACCTCGTGATCCACCCGCCTCGGCCTCCCAAAGTGCTGGGATTACAGGCTTGAGCCACCGCGCCCGGCTAATTTTGTATTCTTTAGTAGAGATGGGGTTTCTCCATTTTGGTCACGCTGGCCTTGAACTCCCAACCTCAGATGATCCACCTGCCTCAGCCTCCAAAAGTGCTGGGATTACAGGCGTGAGCCACTGCGCCCAGTCCACTATCCATTATAGAAATTGTTTTAGCTACTGCAAAATTACTGTAGTTGGTGCTAGATTTAGAGAGGCAGTCCACCCTTAAATTTGATCATCCTGTTAATATGTACTCATTTTCTGTTTTCACTCATTAAGAATATTTCCCCTACTAAGGTTTCTCTTGTTAAACAAAAGGAATGAGTTTTTTCTAGGGTATGATTCTATGCCTAACACTACCTTTAATTAACAAATAATATAAACTTAAGTGCCTATTTCCCCCTCCCCACCAGTTTCTTGTTGCTATACATCACCTTCTCTGTACGTAATTTCTAACTTAGAAACTTAGGCAGATAGCTATATATTGTGTATTTTAAAGATAACATGAACTTTTGCTTTATAAAATATTAAAATAGGTAGCTGCTGGTGCTGTTGGATTAGCACAAAGAGCTTTGGATGAAGCTACCAAGTATGCCCTGGAAAGGAAAACTTTTGGAAAGCTACTGGCAGAGGTAATTTTAATACTGCTTGCTTTGTTCAAATGTAAAGACAGTCATTTTCATTTAATATTTAGAAATGAATTTTAAACCACAAACTAATCTGTTTCTACTTTGATAGCAAGAAGACAATGTGGTTTTATCAAGATGAGTTTCAAAGAAAGATTTTTTTTTTAGACTATGCCACTACTATTGGTTACTTCTGTACTTGACACTGTGGCATGCTTTTTTTTTTTTTTTTTTTTGCGACAGAGTCTCATTCTGTTGCCCAGGCTGGAGTGCAGTGGCATGATCTTGGCTCACCACAATCTACACCTGCCAGGTTCAAGCAGTTCTCATGCTTCAGCCTCCTCAGTAGCTGGGACTATAGGAACGTGCCACCACACCCAGCTAATTTTTGTATTTTTAGTAGAGACGGGGTTTCACTATGTTGGCCAGGCTGGTCTTGAACTCCTGATGTCTTGATCCACCTGCCTTGGCCTCCCAAAGTGCTGTGATTATATGCATTTTAAATATATTCTAATTCAGTAACCCTTTTTTGGGTAGTGTTAACTCTTTTAAGGATCAAGAAACTGAAGCTTAGAGAGGTATTAAACGATTTGTCCAAGGCCACACAATTTATAAGCCTCAGATCCAGGATTCTAATTGTTGCCCTTTTATGCTTTTCTTTTTTTTTTTTTTTTTTTTTTTTTTTTTTTTTTTTTTTTTTTTTTTGCTAGGGGCTAGGGAGGAGGTGGGGGACAAAGTCTTGCTCTGTCACCCAGGCTTAAGTACAGTGGCATGATCTGGGCTCACTGCAAACCCCACCTCCCGTGTTCAAGCGATTCTCATGCCTTAGCCTCCTAAGTAGCTGGAACTATAGGCATGCACCAACACACCCAGCTAATTTTGGTATTTTTAGTAGAGATGAGGTTTCTTTATGTTGGCTGGGTGGTGTTGAACTCCTGGTCTCGAGTGATCTGTCTGCCTTGGCTTCCCAAAGTGCTGGGATTATAGGCCTGAACCACTGTGCCTGGCCTATGTTATACTCATAAGTCTTGTTACTTCCTATGTCTTCTTGAGTATCAAATAATTTTAGTACTAGAAAGACTCATGTCTTCCATGAATTTCCAGGTTAATTCTTAACTCTTACCTCTTCAAATATTGATGCTTTCTCATTATCTGTATTCTCTCCTGCAACTCACTATGAGTTGTATAGTGAACCTCCTATTTTTTTTTTAAACTTAAAGACAAGGGTGAAGAAACCTTTTTTTTTTTTTTTTTTTTTTTCCTGAGACAGAGTCTTACTCAGTTGCCCAGGCTTGAGGGCAGTGGTGCAATCATTGCTCATTGCAACCCCCTAGGATCAAGTGATCCTCCCACCTCAGCCTCTTAAATAACTGGAACCATAGGGGCACACCACCATGCCTGGCTAATTTTTTTATTTTGGTAGAGATGCGGTCTCACTGTGTTGCCCAGGCTGGTCTCAAACACCTGGGCTCAAGTAGTCCTTCCACCACAGCCCCCATGAGTCTCTAATTCCTATTCCCATGTGTCAGTGGTTCTCAAATTATCTGTTGTGAAAGACCAGTTTGTTATAATTTGCAATTAATGTGGACCATTATTTTTGTAAAATATAAGAATGTCACAACAATGTTAAATTGCTGTAAAAGTTTCTAAATGCTTATTCTCTTCTGTACCATCTACCAGTAACAGTCTGTGAATCAGCACTGTGGACAAACTTGGATTAGCACTGCTCTGTGTCCCTTAACCGTAGTTTCATAATTTATCTCTCTATGCTATATTCTAGATTATTTTCTCAGATTTGCTTTCGAATTCTCTTATCTTGTGCCTAATCTATTTAAGGCTATAAAAAATCTGTTGATTTTTTTATTAATGACTACTTTTCATTTCCAGAAGTTATATTTGTTTTTTTCCATTATGCCTTCTTTTCAACTTAGTACCTCTTTTTCCTTTTTTGTCATTAATCATGGAAAAATTCTTTATTTATAATCAATTTCAGATTTTTTTGTTGTCTTCAATTCTTGGGGTGCTAATCTTGCAGTGTATTGTGTCTGCTAACTCTTTTATGGTCAATTATTTCTCTTTTATTTTTTGTTTGTAAGCTTATCTGCAGGAAATACTATTTTTCTCAGTGCATTATGGAAGCATTTTAGAAACTGGCTTTTGTACTTTTTCAGCACTTTTGTTAGGTACTCCAAGATTTCACCATTCTAAGAACTGTTACTTTACATTAATTTCTCAACTTGGGGAATCCTGTATCATAGAAGTCACGTACATTGATCCCGCACATTAAGAAATTCCCTACATTCCAGTCTGGGCAATAGTGTGAGACCCTGTCTCAAAACAACAACAACAGAAGTCCTTTCTTTTCTTGTTCTTTCTTTAAACCTCCTGGGCAAGAGATAAGCTTCTTTGTGGCCTTGTATCCTGAGACTTTTAATTGCCCCTTTGGAAAGCAAAGCTTTTATATGCAGGGCATCTCAGTTTTAGCCCCTTAGCTTGTTCGTGCTTACATCAAAATCTCCCGTTTTTGACTGTTTCTTAAAACTCTGGCTCCTATCCTATTGAGCCCAAATCTGAGTCTGATTTTTTTTTTCTCCATGTCATCTCTTCTCATCAGGATTTAAATTCCTATTTAGAGACACTTAGAGATTTCTGTTTCTTTCATATGAGCTTTTTTTTTCTTTACCAACAGTAATTGAATACTTACTCTATTAAAATACTAATAATCGGATGCTTTCCCTGTTCCAGGCACTATTCTAGGTTCTTAACATGTATTAACTCATTTAATCTTCATAATACTGTGGAATAGGTACTGTTATGTCCATTTATCACATGTAAAACTATTAGGCCCATCTAATAAATTATGGAACCAAGATTTGAACCCAAATAGTCACTTGTATCAGGAAAAACTCTCAAACCATGTTTTTCTTTTGTTCTTAACACCACCAAAATTAACACAGAAAAAGACTTCTATGACCAAAGATGTGGGAGGATTTCCCACACACACCAAGCAACAGACACCAGCCGGGTATCCTCCAGTTTAGTTCTAACAATACCTACCCAGAGATAGCATCAGATCCCACAGGCTTAGTCTCACAGGACTGCCCCTTCTTTCCCCCCTGTTGCAAGTCTTGGCCTTCAGAACTTCTGGCCAACTGGCTTCTAGTTGGGGTTCCCATGACCCCCTCTATGAATTCCAGTACTTTGCTAAAGCAGCTCACAGAACTCAGGGAAACACATTTACCAGTTTATTAGGAAGTATTTTTTTTATTTTAATTTTTTTCATCTTTCTTTTTTTTTTTTTGAGATGGAGTTTCACTCTTGTTGCCCAGGCTAGAGTGCGATGGCATGATCTCAGCTCACTGCAACCTCCACCTCCAGGATTCAAGTGATTCTCTTGCCTCAGCCTCCTGTGTAGCTGGGATTACAGGCACCCACCACCATGCCCAGCTAATTTTTTATTTTATTTTATTTTAGTAAAGACAGGATTTTACCATGTTGACCAGACTGGTCTTGAACTCCTGACCTCAAGTGATCTGCCTGCCTCAGCCTCCCAAAGTGCTGGGATTACAGGTGTGAGCCACCACGCCTGGCCAGGAAGGATATTTTAAAGAATACAGATGAAGAGATGTGTAGGGTAAGGTATCAGGGAAGATACATGTGGCTTCCATGCATCCCCTGGGACTCTCACCCTGTAGGAACCTCTGGAAGCTTTCCAAACCCCATCTTCTTGGGTTTTCATAGAGGCTTCATTATGTAGGCATGATCAATTAAACTATTGGTCATTGATGATTAACTTGACTTTTAGCCCCTCTCCCCTCCCTGGAAGTTGTCGGGAGTGGGGCTGAAAATCCCAACCCTCTAATTCTGCCGTCATCTTGCCAGTAACCAGCACCACTCTGAACCTATCAGACAAAAGACATACATAAAAGCTAGCACTTTGGAGATCCCAAGGAATTCAGGAGTTGTATGCCAGGAAATGGAAACATATTTCCATCCTATAACATATCTTGGCCATAACTAACTCATAGAGCACTTACTGTCTCTTATTGAAAGTATTTGTTTTATGTCTTCTATTTGATTCTGAGCCTCTAGAGTCTAAGAAGTATCTTTTAGTTTTCCTTTCCTCTGTCTTGGTATCTGATACAATGTTTTCTCTATATGTAGCAACTTTCTTTTAAAAAGTCCTAGCAGAGGCTGGGCATGGTGACTCACACCTGTAATCCTAGCAGTTTGGGAGGCCAAGGCAGGAGGATCGTTTGAGACCAACATAGGCAACATTGAGAGACCTTGTCTCTATTTAAAAAAAAAAAAAGGTCCCAGCTACTTGGGAGCCTGAGGCAGGAGGGTCACTTGAGCCTGGGAAGTTGAGGGTGCAGTGATCTGAGATCATGCCATTGCATTCTAGCCTGGGTGACAAAATTTTGAGACCCTGTCTCAAAAAAAAAAAAGTTAGGCAAATCAAAATTGAAGGACATTTTACATAAAATAACCAATCAACATTCTTCAGAAGTGTAGGACATTTTATACAAAATAACCAATTAACATTCTTCAGAAGTGCCAAGTCATGAAAGATAAGGAAGGATTGAGGAATTATAGTAGCCTGGGAAAGAATAAGAAGAAATAACTAAATTCAGTGTGTAATGGTGGAACAGAAAAAGAACATTAGCCGAAAACTTGACCAGATCTGAGTAAGGCTTATAGTTTAGTTGTTAATATCATACCTGTGTTAATGTCCTGTTGTCGATTATGGCACTATGGTTTTGTAATATGTTAACATTAGAGGAAGCTGAGTGTAACTTTTCTCTAAACCTAAAATTAGTTAATGAAAAGTTTAAAAAAAAAAAAAAAAAAAGGTCAGGCGCAGTGGCATGTCTGTAATCTCAGCACTTTGGGAGGCCTAGGTAGGAGGATTGCTTGAAGCCAAGAGTTGCAGACCAGTCTGGGCAACATAGCAAGACCATGTCACTATAAAAATTAAGAAGCCCCAGGAAAAACTTTTAAGGTTTCTCAATAAATATCCTTTAACTTTTTTCTTTTCAATTCTAGCACCAAGCAGTATCATTTATGCTGGCTGAAATGGTAATGAAAGTTGAACTAGCCAGAATGAGTTACCAAAGAGCAGCTTGGGAGGTTGATTCTGGTCGTCGAAATACCTATTATGCTTCTATTGCAAAGGCATTTGCTGGAGATATTGCAAATCAGTTAGCTACTGATGCTGTGCAGATATTTGGAGGCAATGGATTTAATACAGAATATCCTGTAGAAAAACTAATGAGGGATGCCAAGATCTACCAGGTAAGGTTAAAAATGATTTTTTTTTGGTTTGTGAGGAGAGAGAATATTCATAAATGACACAGAAGATTTCTTATTATTTAAGAATTTTATGTCCCTAGTAGCAAGAAATGACTATCATATATAGCTGTGAGTCAGTTTTTAGAGGAATTAATTAATAGAAAGAAGAATGTTATTTGTAATTAAGTCTGAAGAGAGAATAGACTAACAAAACAAATGGTACAGACATGTATATTATGTTTGGATTAGATGTCTTTGAGTTTTAATATCTTAGCTAACTGTAGCCAAAACTTTTCTCTCCAAAAAGTATGCATGTAATTTAAAATTAATTATTTTGATTTGAATCTTGCGTGGCAGCTCTTGAATTAATTATAACTATACTTGGAGTCAAAATTCAACATGAGGAGACAGTGATGTAGATGAATTCCAGATTAAATTATTACTCAAAAAAACTTAGAAGGAATTTAATAAAATATAAGTGTGCATATTCTCTATATGTGGTTTAAGTAAGTAATTAATAATTACCACATTCTTGCTCTTAAATATCTATTCCCTTGCTCTCCCTATACCTAGAAAATTATTTGACTCATCCAGTCGTTTGACATACTGAGTTCAAATCAGAATGCTAGAGTGAGAAGGAATGTTGGACATAGTGCAGCCTCTCCAAGTAGATATGAAAAAGCTCAGGTCCAGAATTTGTGCCTTATCCGAAGTTGCAGGTTTATCTGGTGATACTCTTCCTCCCCTAGAGCCTTTAATTATAATTATTACTATTATTTATTATCAACCATTTAGCTTCTCTCTGCCATTTGAGAAGATAAACTAACAAATGGCTGAAGTTAGACGTTTAGAATGAAATAAGGTCTGACCTTGAAATCATTCCAGCATCTTTTTCTTTAGCAACTCTGTTCCATAGGCAGCAGGAGAAAAAAAAATTAGGTTTAAGAGTAAGAATAAAAGACTGAAGGTGGCAGCTTTTAAGAACAGTTCAGAAAAGTTGGACAAATATTTTGGCAATATTAAACTTAAGTTTTCCCAAACTTTCTGAAATGTAATTTTTTTTTTTTTTTTATGTTTTGAAGACTATTCTCCAAAATTTTGATAAATGACTTTTTATAATCACTTAAACCAATCTTTAGAGAATTCCATATTTTCAGACTTTCACAAAATCAGGTTTTGGAATCTCTGTAGGCTACAGAGCATATATATGATTTGATTCAGTTTTGTATTACAATGCAGCTTATACTACTGTCTAGAATGTTGAATAAATCAAGGTATTTATGTGATAAAGATATTTAACCTACACTTATTGTCTTGCAGATTTATGAAGGTACTGCACAAATTCAAAGAGTTATTGTAGCCCGTGAACACATTGGCAAGTATAAAAATTAAAGAAATTACTATAGAAACATCATTAAACATTGAGTAACTAGAACATAATCTACTGCTACAGCTCCAGTAGAGAAAGGGCTTTAACACTTTTTCCAGTGAAAAAAAAAATAAGTCCTCTTATATTAAATCTAAGCAACTGATTATAACAGTAGTTTATACTTTTAACTCTATGATGTCTCTTAAGCAGGTTTGTTTTTTATTAAAATTATGTGTTTTCTTTAGTACCACTTTACTTGAATTACATTAACCTAGAAAAGCACATATGTTTTGTTATTTGATCTCTTAAGATTAATGTAGCAGAAATTTCTTGGAATTTTATTTTTTTAATGACAGAAAAGTGGGCTTAGAAAGTATTCAAGATGTTACAAAATTTACGTTGAGAAAATATTGTAGGGTTTGAATACTATCAAATAACTTGCCATTTACTTTGTAGACTTAATGTATTATTTTATTAAAGTTCATTTTGCTGCAGTTTTAAAAGTGTTTGCTTTCAGTCTGGGACAGAAACAGTCAAAATTTTGACATTCATATTCTCCTATTTTATAAAATTTTCAAGAACTTTCTTGAAAATCTTGTTTAATTCTGAGCCCATATTTCACTTGCCTTATTTAAAATAAATCAATAAAGCTTTCCTTAAACTATTTTTATATGACTGTTGGTCTGTAGTTAGCCTTTGTATTGTGCGCAATCTCATTTCATGTGGATGCATTTTGGCAAAGAACTTAATAAAATTGTTCAGTGCTTGTTATCATATCTTTCTGTATTTTTTCCAGAAAATTTCATTATTTCATATAATAGTGTATATTTTGTGTATTTACTATCATGAAAGAAAGTCAAGTTTTAATTTTGAATTGAATAAAGTTACCTCTTCATTTTTATTAGGCTATATTAAACTGTGTTATACTAAATGGAGTGCTTTCTGACATCATATCTCATTCTCTAGCTCCCTGACATCAACTGTGTCCTACATTTCAATTCTGTTCTGACACTATGCAGAGTTAGGCTCAATCCCATAAGTCTGCCCTCATATCAGAGGCCAGTCACAAGTCCTGAGTCCCCAAGCTACCCATACTCTGTCCAACATGACTACAAATTCAGGTATTCCCATGACCCTGCTGTCAGGTTTGATAATTTGCTAGAATTGCTCACAGAACTCAGGAAAACACTTCACTTATATTTACCTGTTTATAAAGGGTACAACTCAGGAACAATTAATGAAGAAGTGCATAGGGAAAAGTATGGAGGGAGAAAGGAGGTGCAGAGCTTCCATGCCTTCTTCCAGCATACTGCCTTCCCAGCATGTCTATGTATTCATCAACTGGGAAGTTTCCCAACTCTCATTCAAGAGTTTCCATAGAGATCAATCTCCAGTACTTCTCTCCTCCCAGGAGGTCCAAGGTGAAAGCTGGAAGCTCCCAACTGTAGTAGTCTCCTAGGGCTGCCATAAAAAATACATGGCAGACCTGGTGGCTTAAATAAATTTATTTTCTCACAGTTCTGGAAGCTAGAAGTTCAAGTTCAAAGTGCCATTTGGGATGGTTTCTAGTGAGGCCTCTCTTCGTGTCTTATAAACTGCCACTTTCTGTGTCCCTACATGTCCTCTTCTCTGTGCATCATCAAGGATTGGGTTAGCGGGAGCTCTTGTGTCTTTTTCTCCCCTTCTAAGGACACCAGCCCTATGAAATTAGAGCCCTATCCTCATGACCTTAGTTAACTTCCTAAAAGGCCCTATCTTCAAGTACAGTCACATTGGGAGTTAAGGTTTCAACATAGGAATTTTGGAGGGACACAATTCAGTCCATAACATCACCCTCTAGTTACTTAGTCCTTCTGGTGACCAGACTCCTCTTGAGACTGTCTAGCGGCCCCACCCTAAGTCATCTCATATGCTAAACTCAGGTATGATTGAAAAGGGCTTATAAGGAATAGCAGAAGATATTCCAAGCACTCAAGAAATTCCAAGTGTTTTAGGATCTCTGTGTCAGGAACTGGGGATAAAGACCAAATAAATTTCTTATACCACACTAAATTACCAAAATAAAAATCTAATCTTTTACAAATATAAAATATTTAAATGACTTTTCCTTCATGCTCAATGATGAAATTGATACAGTTTGAGATTGGTAAGGAGATTTAGAAATTTCTTAATTGAGTATTATATGGAAATGAGAAGTTAAAGAGAATATATATATATATAATTCAAATGCAAATTTGAATTTGCAATACACAGGCCCAGCCATTTCTGAACATGAAGCTTCTAGAAATGGGGTGGGAATGGTGGCTCATGCCTATAATCCAAACACTTTGGAAGGCTGAGGTGGGAGGATCACTGAAGCCAGGAGTTTGAGGCTACAGTGAACTATGATAGCACTGTTTATACTCCAGCCTGGGTGACAGAGTGAGATTTTGTCTAAAAAGAAAAAGTTTCTATACAAGATATAAATGTACACCAAAGCCTTATGATGAGAATATTAAAGTATCCTTGCTAATAAATATTAACCACTTACATAATTTTATATCAGTTAAGCCTTGCTAGTCCCAAGTAACAAATGAACTTAAGCTACTTTAATCAAATATGTATTTTAAGTATGTGGAAATGCCTCATAGATCTGAAAGGCAGGAATGGAGTCAATCTCAGAAAGGGACTAAAACCAGAATAGCCAGTCCTCAGGAATCCTTGAAATATATATAGTCTTTTGTTAACTCGCTACTTGTGTCATATTTTATTCATTGCTGCTCTGTAGCCTAACTTTCTCTGCTTCTTTGATCCCATGATAGAATCAGACTTCACTGTAGCATATTTATAAACTGGATTGACCATCACGCATATAAGCTTGCTGACTAGGGCCATTACAAGAAGGAGGGTAGGTACAGTCAAGGACTACAAACATGATTGTTAGTCATGGACTACAAACATGATTCTCCATCTGTGAATTGATGGTTCCTAGAGAAAGCATAGTTTTATATGTGATCTGGTAGGTTTACAACAATTTTAATGAATGTTTAAGGAATCTATCAGAGTCATCAATTTGCATAAAGGGAGAAGAATTATTCAGTGACTACTCCGGATTAAAAAAAAAATGGTTATTGATATGGCTTCTAGAATTACAGCCATTAATTTGAATATATTACCCATGATCAAATAGTACGAAGCGTTTTTGGAGATTAAAGATTACATTCCACAGGCAACACTGTTTTTTTTTTTTTCTTAATATGTGAAAGACTATTTACTCAATAGATGAGGGAACTAGTATAAAGTTAAAACTGGTATAAAGGAGAATTTGAAGAGCAGGTATAGGCAGTAAGAAATGCTTAAAATAATTTGCTGCTAGATTAACTATATCCTATAGGGCATGGGTCCCCAAACCTCAGGCCAAGACCATTAGCCCATTAGGAACTGTGCTGCACAGCAGGAGGTGAGTGGTGGGCGAGTGAGCATTACTGCCTGGGTCCCACCTCCTATCAATCGGTGTCAACATTAGATTCTCATAGGAACATGAACCCTACTGTGAACTGCACACATAGGGATCTAGATTGCATGCTGCTTTTGAGAATCTGATGATCTGAGAACAGTCTTACCCCCAAACCATCTCCCCCCACACCCCCAACTGTGTCTGTAGAAAAATCGTCTTCCACAAAACCAGTCCCTGATGCTAAAAAGGTTGGGGACCACTGGTATAGGGCAATAAAACCTAATGGGATCATCTTTTCTACAGAGCAGAAATACGTTATAGTTCAGGTTCAGTTGCATTACTTTCCATGTTTTTACAATTTAACATCTACATTTACAACTGTATCACAGTCTAGCCAATAAAGACAATGGTGCATATCCCATCAGATAATATGCAGATGATCCATTAGATAATACCTAGCACACTACTAAAGGAACACTAAATAATTTATTGTATCCTTTTTCAAGGCTTTGACAGTGTTTCTTAACAGTCTCTTCCTTTTCATCAAAAGGAATCTGTCACAATTATTCTTGATTAGTAAAAAGCAAATTTCATTAGGTTTGTCCAGATTATTTGCCTAGGTACAGCAAGAGTGTTCATTAATCATGTAGATCTTCTCAAATTTACTTTGCAAATCCAAATCCATACAGAACAGAACAAATTACTAAGGCCACAGGATTAACTTCTGTCTGAAAGTTTTCATCAGAAACCTCAAATTGGACTTCTAAAAGCCTTTGTAACTTTACATCCCAAGGCTGGGGAACCAAATCCAAGAAACTCTTCACTAGATTTCTCCTGTAGTACCTAAGAATTTGGTTGAATCTCTTTCCTTAGCATCTTCAAAATTTGCTAGGATTCCCAGCCTCCCAAGCATTGCTTTTCCTTACCGCTGATAAGACAAACATTTAAGCCAGGCACCATTCCAGTTTTGTTGAGACAGCTTTGTAGGCATTGACTCTACATATAAAGTCAACTTGAAATGTATATAATCTTTTGCTAACTCTCTACTTGTGTCATATTTTATTCATTGTTTTTAATAGTGGGCTTGTCATAACTGGTTAAATGAGAATTATTTTCAAAAAGGTCACCCTAGATATGGCCCTCACGACCTAAGCAATTATCCTGGTAAAAAGGACAGATTCCTTTTGAATATTGCTATGACATAAAAGGAGATTCAGCACATTTCTGAATTCTGAGGGCTTAGAATCACATGCCATTTAAAAATTTTAGGGCTGGATGCAATGGTCTATGCCTATAATCCCAGCAATTTGGGAGGCTGAGGTGGGAGGATGACTTGAGCCCAGGAGTTGAAGACTAGCATGGGCAAGATGGTGAGACCTCATCTCTACAAAAAATTAGAAAATTAGGTGGGTATGGAGATACACTCCTGTGGTCCCAGGTACATGGGCTGAGTCAGGAGGATCTCTTGGGCACAGGAGGTTGAGGCTGCAGTGATCCATGTTCACACCACTACACTCCAGCCTGGGTGACAGAGCAATACCCTATTGCCAAAAAAAAAAAAAAAATGAAAAGAAAATTTCAGTTTACAAAAGCAGAGTACACTAAATTGAGGTCAATAGCTTATGAAGAATTTAAAAGGGATTCCTCATATACCATAAAAATAGAACACTACATCAACAATATTCCAAAAAAGAAATAACTCATCAACTTTCTCTCATCAGTTCATTCATTCCTATGTACTTATTCTGCTAGAAATTGTGTTGGTGGACTGCTGTCATGAATTCATCTGCTTCCAAAAGAGAGTCCTAGACATGCAGACTCAGTTCACTGCCATGTCTTGAAAGTTGTCTAAGCTGTCTGCTCAGAAGCCTGTATTCATAAATCTATTTTTTGAAGAATTTATCAGTAGTTCAAAGAACCTGGTCCTTTCCATGAGGCTCCGAGACTGCCCTTTCTTGAAAACACAAATTTGGCCTCTAGTTTATAGTAGAGCCCTTGAGCAAGCATCAGAGTAGCACAGAAACTATATATGTAGATGGCCAAAGCTAAACGGTGTTTGATATGTTTTGGCTCTGTGTCCCCACCCAAATCTCATCTCAAATTATAATCACCATAATCCCCATGTGTTAAGGGAGGGACGTGGTGGGAAGTGATTGGATCATGGGGTTGGTTTCCCCCATGATAGTCTCGTGATAGTGAGTGAGTTCTCACAAGATGTGACAGTTTTGTAAGGGGCTCTTCCCCCTTTGCTTGCTCTCTCCTGCCACAATGTCAAGAAGGTCCTTGTTTCCCCTATGCCTTCTGCCATGACTGAAAATCTCCTGAGGCCTCCCAGCTGTA